AAAAAAAGAACACTGAGATTCCATCTTACTCCAGAAAGAATGGCTACCATCAAAAAATCAGGTAACAACAAATTGTGGTAAGGCTTCAGGGGAAAAAAGAATCCTTCCTTGTTGTTGGTGGGAATGTAAACTAGTACAACCACTATAGAAATCAGCATGGAATTTCTCAAAAAACTAAAAAAATAAATTCCATTCCACCCAGCTATTCTCCTTCTAGGTATACACCCAAAAGAGTTACAGTCATCATTACAGTGATACATGCATACCCATGTTTACCACAGCACAATTCAAAATAGCTACATCTTAGAAGTGGCCCATATGACCATCAACAGATGAAGGGATGAATGGATACAGACAATGTGCTGGGGTTTTGTTTGGGTTTGGTTTTTTGAGACAAGGTCTCATCATGTTAGTTAAGATTGGCCTTGAACTCCCAAGTGGCCCTTTAGCTCACAGGATCCTCCTACTTCCGCCTCCCAAGTAATGGGAAAACTGGCTTGTGCCACTGTGCCCGGCTGAAAATGTGGTATTTATATACAAGACAGTACTAATCTGCCATAAGGAAGGAAAAACTTGAGTCATTTGTAGGAAAATGGATGCACCTTGAGACTATAAGGTGAAGCAAAGACACAAGCTGATGGTTGCAGTTTCTCTTAAATGAGAAACACAAAATAGAAATAAAGAGTAAAATAAAAGATAGATAATAGGGGGGAAAAAAAGAGATGGAAGAAGGGGGAACTAGGGTAGGGGAAAAAAATGCAGCCAGGAGGGAAGGCAAGGGGACATAAAAAGAAATTAAGTTGTAGTAGGTATATATACCAGTTCCTCATGATGAATGTAATCATTAGGTACTACAAATGTCTATTAATAAAAATTTTAAAATTAAAATAAAAAATTTAACAGCTAAGAAAATAAATTGCTATATATTTGTATAGGAATGGTGCCTGAAATGTGTCAATAAAATAAGCAATTGGCTTTTCATTTAAAAGGCTAAGATTTTTAATTTAGAAATTCCCTGACACAAAATAACTTGAGGAAATCCCCTTTACTGTTTTTAAGCATTTATAAACATTCTATCTATAAGCAGATAGAAATATATGAAATAATTATAAAACTACTGGAGAGTCACGATTTCTGGCTTTAACCTGAGTTTTCTTCCTAACTACATGATTTTGGGCAATTATTTAACCTCTCTAAATTTTGCTTTCATCTTTTATTTGGGAAAATACTAGAGGTTAAGATTCTGTTCTCTACAGATAATGTATATGTACTATACACATACTTTTGCTCTGTGTTCAGTGATCTTATGTATGACTGGCCAGTGACTATTTTTTTCTTTGTCTGCTGCCTGGATAGTCCTTTACCAAGCCAAAACAAAACAAAATTATTTTTCTTAAAAAACATTTCTGGGGCCAGAGATTTAGCTCAGTGGTTTCACCGCCTGCTGTGCAAGCACAAGGACCTGAGTTTGATCCCTGGTACCAAAAAAAAAAAA